TGCAGTTCCCAATATGTCTTACCATCGGGATGATAACTCCAAAACAAAGGGGTTTAACTGATTTTACTTCTATAGAAACAAATTTCATTTTCTTATTTTTTTTTTATTCCTGAAATATAACTTGAATCCTCTTGTTTTCGAGTTATCATCCAGATGGTAACACTAATTGTTCACAGTAAATGACGCATTACAGTATTCTGCAGTTATTTCTAGATGACAACATTTTTTCCTTCTTCCAATTTGTAACTCTATGTATTTTTTCAAATGGAATTACATATGGCATTACCAAGCTGAAACCTCTTATGTAATGCCATACGTTAAACCATATGTAATGCCACATGGCTTTCCTGAAGGTATTACAGAAGTAATCACACATGGAATTCCGTCTTTCTTTTTCAGGTGGGTCATCCTTTGATAGTTCATCACCAGCTGACCCAATGTCCTCCTTCTGCGTCTCTTCCAGATCTTCCTCCTTGCGAGTCCCTCTCTCCCCCTCGACTTCCTTACCATCGGATGTTGACTTGCTTCGTCCACCTCCTTGCAACGCTAACACATCTGTAGGGAGGCAAGCTCATGGTTAGCGCGGAGGAAATCAGATAATGGGTAAGGATTCAAAAGGATAACCTTAACGATACCCTCACAGCAATCACACCTGACTCTAGCTCAGAACAGCTAGAGCTCGTGCGTAAACCCAGCGTTTACTTAAAAACGCGGGAAATTAAATATAAGGTGGGTTAAAGCAACAACGGATCAAGCTACTACACTAGAGCTCGCACGTGCCCACCACACTACTATGTGCACACGTGCATTACACGTGACGGTGAATTTGGTGAAAACAAGTAAAAACAATCATGGGAGACGAAGAATCGAGAACAAAAAGGTTTCTTACCCTCAAACTGGAGCTCTTCGTCATCCTCAACCTGAAACTCACCCTTCTGGTCCTCACAATCATGGTAAAGGATGCGGCCCTCGAGCTCAGCGAGAGCTGCCAAAGCACATTGCGCCCAGCTACCAGAGTCTCTCTTGCTGCCATCAGCGTTGGGTTAGGCGGATTTAATATCGGAACTTTTTCCCTAGATCGTATACATAGCTATACGATCTAGGGAGAATGTTCCGTCGAGCAGACAGCACAGCAGTGAAGGGGCATTGCCACAGATACGCAGAAATTAAAAATTGCAATATTAATAATACAAGTGCCTATCACCTAATGACCCGGGGCGCTAACTGGCCTCTCTATTAAATAATAAAGTATTAATTATTAACACAAGCGCCTATCACCCGATGACCCGGGGTGCTATAACTGGCCTCTCTTATAAANCAATGTCGGAACTTTTTCCCTAGATCGTATATATAGCTATACGATCTAGGGAGAATGTCCAGACGAGCAGACAGCACAGCAGTGAAGGGGCATTGCCAAAAACACGCGGAAATTGAAAATTGTAATATTATAACACAAGTGCCCATCACCCAATGACCCGGGGTGCTAACTGGCCTCTCTATTAAACAATAAAGTATTAATTACTAACACAAGTGCCCATCACCCAATGACCTGGGGCGCTCACTGTCCGCTTTATTAAACGATATATATTGTTGATTAATAACACAAGCGCCTGTCACCCAATGACCTAGGGTGCTTACTTGCCACTGTGTAAATTAATAAAAGGTTAATTAATAACCCAAGGGCCTATCACCAAGTGACCCGGGGCGCTTACTGGTCACTTTGTTAAACGATATATATTATTAATTTATAGCACAAGCGCCTATCACCCAATGACCCAGGGCGCTAACTGGCCACTCTGTGAAATAATAAAATATTAATCAACTAGCGGCCCCCCTCTCGGCCTCGCCCGAGACTTACTAAATGGAACACCGTAGTGTGTTGACATGTTATGTGAAATGTTTTTAGTTAAAAATTTTACACATAGGGGTAAATGACCCAATTACTGTGCACTGAAATTTTTAATTGTACTAAATTTCTCATTTCTCAATGTTTTTCGATAAAAATTGAACCAATTTTTTTTTGATCTTTATCTGCAGCATCTTGTGCGATTAAAACGACAAACATTTTTCTGTTAAGTAACTTTTTTTAAAATAATTGTTTTAGTGCTGATATCACTTGCTGGTATTACTGCGCACGGTTATAAAATTAGCACCAGTCGCTGCGCCCCCAATTACTGCAAGGGTATCTCCCATAAGATTTTAATGCTAAAGCCCTAGACCCAATTGCTGCGTACCAATCACTACGCACGACTATAAAGTTTTGTAGGTTAGATTCGTTTAGAGTCACTCAGTTAAACAATTACAAATGTCATGATGTAAAGTATAATTCGGGATTGAACGTTATTAATGTCCGTACGTGTCACAATATCCAAGCACCCAAATTTTTCAGTGTGTTTTTCTTATTTTCAGTTACCGTTGAGTGCAGTAGTTGGTGCCAGCGCAGTAATTGGGTCATTTACCCCTACTCCTGACACTTATATCAGAACAAAAATCTTATTGAAAACATATTTGTTTGGAATCCATACGGTAGCCTCGATTTTATGTCGACGCCACCGGGCGGATCCTACTGAACTGAAGTGAAAAGCTGGCGTATTTTTGCAAAACTTTGAGCTTATTTATTGCTATTTTTATTTAATTTTTTAAGATAAATACTATACGAAAACCATCTAGGAAGGGTCATAAGTCAGTGTGAAAAATTTCAGCAAAATCGGTTCAGTACTTTTCACGGTTAGTGATTACAACGGTTTTAATGACTTTGCTTCATATATTAGTGAGATAGCACAAGCGCCTATCACCCGATGACCTGGGGCGCTCACTGGTCGCTTTATGAAACGATATATATTATTGATTAATAACACAAGCGCCTGTCACCCAATGACCCAGGGTGCTTACTTCCCACTGTGTAAATTAATAAAAGGTTAATTAATAACTTAAGGGCCTATCACCAAGTGACCCGGGGCGCTTACTAGTCGCTTAAATAAACGATTCATACTATTAATTTATAGCACAAGCGCCTGTCACCTTATGACCCAGGGCACTTACTGGCCTCTCTATTAAATAATAAAATATTAATTAACAGCACAATAAGCACCTATCACCTGATGACCGTTGTGCTATCAATTAATAATATATATCGTTTAATAAAGCGACTAGTAAGCGCCCCGGGATATTGGGTGATAGGCGCTTGCGTTTATAATTAATACTTTATTATTTAATAGAGAGGCCACTTAGTGCCTCGGGTTATTGGGTGATAGGCACTTGTGTTATTAATATTACAATTTTTAATTTCCGCGTGTTCGTGGCAATGCTTCTTTACTGCTGTGCTGTCTGCTCGACGGAATATTCTCCCTAGATTGTATAGCTATATATACGATCTACGGAAAAAGTTCCGACATTGAATCCGCCTAACCCAACGCTGACTGCCATTGATACAATGCTCCCAACGATGTAGCCCCTTCAGGCGCTAGAAAATGAATGAAGAAGGCATAGTAGTAAGGTTAGCTGACCAGGGCGGGGTGAGGCCAGTGTTGGGTGAGGAAGATGTGATTCTGCATTTTTATTACTAGGATTTATATATAGCTGCAGATCCTAGTGAGAAAAATGTAAAAGCTGAATAGGAGGGGGGGAGGAGGCCAGTGGTTCTCCTCAAATGTGACTGGCAAACTTGTGGGAAATTCAAATTGGCAATGTGGTGCAAGACGCAAATACCCAGATAACTCGACACAATTACATGCACAATAACTTGATAAACTAATCCCAAGCTATTTAACCTAATAACCTAATGGGCTAATAAGCAGCCTCATGAGTTTGAATAAATAGTAAAATTTATTAATTAACAAAGCAAGCGCCAATCCCCACACGACCCAAGGCACTTACTGGTTGCTTTAATTATTTATGATTAATAAAATAATACCGCAAGCGCCTATCCTCACACAACCGGGGGAGCTTACTGGTCGCTTACTTAATTTACTATATATAAAATAATAACGCAAGCGCCTACCCCCACACAACCCAGGGTGCTTATTGGTACATTGTTATAATCAATAAAATTTATTAACAAATAATGCAAGTGCCAATG